ATAAAACTACAAGTATTTCTCAACATGGAACGAAATTGACCAAGTTTGCATCAGTAAAATATATGAGAACACAGAGAGCAGCTTATGTAACTCCAGACCGCAACTTAGTGGTGGCTAAGTTAAAACTGAAGCTAAGGAAGCATAAGACTAACGAAACCGCAAAACCTTATTATGGCCTTCCTTCGCGATTTTACTGAACTCATTAACACGAGATAGCTCTCAGTAGTAAGTTCAAAGTTTTAAAGGATGTGTAGTGACTTCGGAACCTAATCATAGTCCGCAAAGCCGAACATGAGATAATTACGAAAATAGACTATCAATATGTAACAGTGCGAGAAGGTCAATAAAGGTGAACGCGGTAACATTCACTCGAAACTGAATTCATCGGATGGCATGGCTCGGCTTTGCTGGCGTGACCAGGCCTTATGTAAATATGTAACATCACTTTTATCCATATCAAGTATATTGTTTTATCTTTAACTTAAATGTGTTCTCCATCATATGGTGGTGATTGTTACTGTGCGATGAGTCAGTGTAGACAATGATGGGAATTCCACGTAAGATCCTATAGATTGGGCAGTTACATCATGACAAATCTACAATCTTAAGCCTACCATTAGAGCAGTACTAATAACGAAGTAGGCCGTAAATTAGAGTGGCGAGCCCGACAAGAAGAGCAAGAACCTATTATGGGGAACAAAATGGGGGATATCAAAGAAGCGATAACTTCAACGTATTAGGTGATAATATGTAGCCAGGTGCAGCAGGAAAAGTGTCAATCTCTACTGATACCCTGAGGGAGATTGGAAAAAAGGTGAACAAGAAGCCAGAAATCAATGAGTCAGGGAACAAGCCGAATACACAGAGACAACCAGGCAGGTAAACTGAAAAACTGGAACTGATGAGTAAAAATGTGTGGATGACACTGCAAAAACAAAAAAATAGCAAGGTATTAAGGAAAATGTAAAAGAATTATGTGACACAACTTGAAAATCAACTGTAAAATATAATAGACCAGGGTGATCAGTCAAGAATAAACAAGGCGAACTAATCACTGAGATCGCAGATCAACACAGCAGGTGGACAGAACGCATTGAAGAGCTCTTAAATAGACCAGCCACACAGAGACCATCGGACGTCAATGCAGCACACTCAGATCTTCCCGTAGATTTTATCCCATCAGCAATTGAAGTAATAAGCCTTTAGACATAGTCAAAATGAGGGCAACTGGACCAGGTAGCATACTAGCTGAAGCATTGAAGTTAGACACAAAATTCACTGAAAATGTGTTCTGCGTCCTGTTCCGAAAGACTCGAGAGAACGCACTTGACAGGGTGGATACGAGGTCCTTATAGAACCTCTCTTGACACTATAGGACGAGTATTTGATAAGATCATGATCATCAAACGGAACTAGTACGGCGGACTGAATGTAAAGTCATGCATAAGGGCAACCTGCAACAGTCAGCCTCAAACAAATTACACTCGATGATGAAGCTTTGTAAGAGGTGGAAACGTTTACGTACCTAGGAAGTATCACTGATAAAGAGGGTCTGATGCATATGTGAAAGTACTGATAAACACGGGGGGGTAATATCTGGAAATGACGAAGACTCATAACTCGGAAGAGTCACACAGCAACAACGTCATATTTGTTTATAAAAGCAGAACGACGCTACTCTACGGGGCATCTTCAACACGCCACATGGCCGTTCTTAGTTGGTGGAGCGATTTGTCTGGTTAATTCCGATAACGAACGAGACTTTAACCTGCTGAATAGTAGACTGGTCCTCTGTGCTCGTTTAGGGCGCGGCTTCTATTGCTTCTTTATGGAGTAGTGTGGTCGTGATCCGGCGGGTGCGGTGCCAGTTTTTACTTCTTAGAGGTACAAGCGGCACACTTAAGTCGCACGAAATTGAGCAATAACAGGTCTGTGATGCCCTTAGATGTCCGGGGCCACACGTGCGCTACAATGACGGTGCCAGCGAGTCTGGGAACCTGGCCCGAAAGGGTTGGGCAAACTGTTTCATCACCGTCGTGACTGGGATCGGGGCTTGCAATTATTCCCCGTGAACGAGGAATTCCTGGTAAGTACAAGTCATAAGCTTGCGCTGATTACGTCCCTGCCCTTTGTACACACCGCCCATCGCTACTACCGATTGAATGGTTTAGTGAGGTCGTTGGATTAGTGTCGTTGTAGTGGCGTTGCCGCTCGACTGATGCTGAGAAGATGACCTAATTTGACTATTTAGAGGAAGTAAAAGTCGTAACAAGGTTTCCGTAGGTGAACCTGCGGAAGGATCATTATCATAACCCAAAAATATATAATGATGCATGCACCTGGCTTCTTGCTGGACTGTATGTACCCTGGCTTGGTTGTTATTACCCTAGGCTCCAGTGGTTAATATTGTAGTGAACGAGAGCACAATTCAGTTATTCAGTGCAAAATTACAGGGTTCTTTCGTAATGTGCGTAAAACTCTGCACTAAATACTTCGCTCCTTTATTGCTATCATAATTACTCTCTGCCTACATTCTCGTTCTCTTCAACGAGAGTGATAGAGGCTAATGGTGAATGACCACTAGGAGATGGTGGAGAATATCAATCAGAACGCCATCCTACATGACGCACCTCAGTTGAAGCAGATATCTTGAATGTGAATATCCTAGTTTAGGCGAGTCACAGAACGATTAGTACAGGCTAAACGGTGAGCCTGGCATAGATGGAGGGTCCTTCTGAGGGATGATGACCGTAGCTGTTACTCGAAACAAATGCAACTCAGATGCTACGCCAAAGTTCAAAGCGATAGGAGGGCCAAGTAGCCACCAAAACGCAAGCTAACTACAAATATCTCTACAGATTAACGACTGGGTGAAAGCCTACGATCCACGAGATCTGTGTTCTTAGAGGGCCAAATGGCTATCACACCAGCTCAAAGATTGCAGAGAACTTTGATGCCAACTTCGTTGACCAACAGAACTAGAAGTCAGTAAGTGAGGAACACTTCTCAGCTGTAGTGCCAGTTGAGAGTCCAACAACTCCCGGGTCAGTATCAAAGAGGTGGAAATCCCTGTGCCCAGGAAAGTTACTAGCATATGACAACACCCGATATATAATCCTGAAACAGTGTGTGGAAACTATCAACACACTGGCGTGTGGCCCCTTCAGGCACTCACTAGATTCACACCAACTGCCGAGAGAATGAAACCAGGTCACCTCTCCTCAAACCATCGAAGGAGTGGCTACAGACCAGTCTCATTACTTTCAATGCTGTTAAAGGCAACCAGTGGATAAATGAGATAATGCACGGATTAAAATGACATCCTCTATGGAGCCCAAAACGGGTTCAAAAATGCAGGTCTCGTACGTCTAGTCTCTTCATAGCATGAGGAAGCAGGATGACCTACCAGGAACGCATGATACCGGTTCGTGTAGTATTCTTTGATTTCACAAAAGCCTTCGACACTACTGCGCATATTTTCCGATAGCTACAAATATAGGTTTCACTGACTCGCCTCTGATTTTGCCTAGAAACTACGTTGAGAATATGACATTTTGTACCAAGGTGAATAGGGTGCGTGCGAGCCGAAAGGTCTAAACATCAGTTATTTCACAAGGAACAATCTTAGGTCCATTCCTATTCCTGGTCCTTACTAACGACCTGTTAGACGAGACAAACCCAGCAACTCTGATCTATGTAGACAACGCGAAGATCTGAAGGCCCATGTAAAGCGAAAAAGTTTCACTTGAGCTTCAAAAGGACCTTGCAACAATGGTAGAATAGGCAGTAGACAGTCAGTCAGAACTTCACTTGTCGAAGTGTCATATCATGAACATTTTGTTACATTTGATACAAAGCAATTACACCTTCAGAGCGTGATCTCCGGTCCGTAACCACGAAGTACTTAAACACCTACCCAAACTTTATGGGGTGTTCAGCCAGAGCAAGACGTAGCTGACCACTTCATGAGACGACAACTTGACGCAGTCATCCCAGAGTTGTTCCTAACACCTGAGAACGTACACACAACCGCATCCCGCGGTTTACAATTTCGTTGCTTTCCCTCTTATTATAAGGGATACAAATCTATTAGACCACGTACAGGGACAAGCAGTCGTGTGGTTGGTAGATTTAGAGTGTAAGTCTCAAGAAGATAGGCTCCAAAACCTGGAATTATCCTCGCTAAGCTGCATCAGAATATGAGGTGATCTGATATCATATGACACAATGAATATGCTAAGTCACGCCGACATGAACACCCCACAACAACATCACCATCACACACCGCGAAGCAACCCCAGAAAGTTGCACATAAAATATCGGAAAAGCCGGGTAAGATCCCATTTCCTTACACTAAGAGCTGTCTCCACTTGGAATACTTCCCAAGCAGAAGTGAGCACAGCCTCAAACAATAAATAGCTACAAGAGGAGACTTAACCAACAAATACTTACCCATGGATTGCCATCTGCCTCCTGGACCAGCTATGCCTGATTCATGTCTCATAATTTATCTACTATTATCATTATCACATATCAGTAACTACCTCTTACTTTCCATATTATCATCCTCATTTCCACTCAAATTCTTAGCCCCAGTTTTCTCACACTCGCTCGACTATCAATTAGTTAGTAGTGAGTACTTATTCATCTATTGAAACAATCAACTCCTAGCACTCGAATTTTTACCCAATCACTTTACATACTGCGAGCAGCTGGTCAACCTGACTGGTAATTTGGTAACTGCTAGTGCCAAGAAACCCTACTGCCTTAAGACAAACGCACACACTCAAACCATAAGATTTAAAAACCCATAAATAACTACTGCGAAACTGACTAGAACTAGTGAAGTTGAGTGGTTAGACTACCGCTCGTTAAACATTACCGAATACTTGGAGTCTTGCGAAATAACAAGAAGCGAGCGCAAAAGAACCAATCAGTTTACTCAAGTTTTTCATATATTCATTGGATATTGCAAAGGTTCTAGGTCAAATTGGAGCACCGCAAAAACAAATGAGTTGGCATCGTTTCACTGGCAAGCCTTCGTAGTTTTGTGAGTAAGGTTGACCATCACATTTCCTTCATATTGAGAGCATCTTAGTATGTGCTATTTTTATTTGCAGATTATAGTATAATCAACTAAAATGCGGTAAAATCACTGGATGATCAATAATCTTAAGCTTAATTAAATTTCATTCATATTTGTGTAGTGAGGACAGCAGGCCTACGGTCTATGTTATTGATTTCCCAGTATGCTTTTGTGAGTTCATAGTCTTCTATTGAATGGGTTAACTGAAGGTGCTAACACTACTGCTTCGGGCAACAGGTTCCAAGAATTGACCACTCTGTGTAAAAACCTGTATGCCTCAGGTATTTTGTTCTTTCTTGGCTTTTCTACTCGCCTGCTGTGTCCTCTGAGTTGTCCCGATCTGGTAGGAAGAAGAGGAAAAAATATATTGGGTGCAAAGTCATTTCTTAGTATTCTATGCATCGTGATCACATCAACTCTTAATCTGCGGTAGGGTAAAGAGGTCTAGCTTTGCAAGCCGCTCTTTGTATGGTAAACCCCGGAGTTCTGAAGTTGCATGGGTAGCTGCCCTATGTACTTTTCCCAGGATATCTGAGCCACCTTTTGAACAGGGGCTTTCTGCCTGAACACTTCCCATGTTTAGTTCTCACTAAAGTTGCAACCTTAGTTTACACATGTGTATACTGTAGTGAACATAGTAGTATCTAACTTGGTGAATATCCGTCTTAAGGCCTATAGGGTTCTAAACCACTAAGCTTTAACTTCATGGTAGTGGGTTGTGGTCCTAAGATCATGACTCAATGTCATCCCAAGATCCTTGTGAGACCGGACTACTGGTACAGGCACTCCCCCTACTCTGTACCTATTTTCCTTTGTGTCCCTAAAGTGCATGTAGACACACTTGGCCGCATCGATAAGCATCAGCCAATTTTTAAACCAGTTAATCGGAATATCTAAGCCTGCCTGAAGTGCACATGCATCTGCGTTTCCTGTCATTTTTCACCAGGCTTTCACATCATCAGCATATATTAGCATTGGGTACAGCTACAGTTGAGGGTTCCTTTACATACAGTATAAAAAGTGGGGGACCTAGGACAGAGCCTTGGGGTATCCCACTAAGTACTGGTTTCCAGGAAGAACACTGGGAATTCTTTTCTCACTTTCTGCCTGCGACCTACCAGGCAATGCCGTGATTTTCCAGCTTCAAGGGTAGTTTACTTCTCGGCACCTTATCAAATGCTTTGTTGAAGTCTATGTGGAAAACACCCACTGATTTTCCATTATCTAGAGTGTATCCATTTCTCTCATGCTATAAGGTGATTTGTTGCGCAAGATAAATCTTTCCTGAAACGATGTTGTTCACTGTTTAATAAGTTGTTGCTTTCCACGAATGCCATTATGGTCTTTTTGGTCATTCTTCCCAGTATTTTAACTACCACACTGATGAGACTGACAGGTCTGTAGTTTGATGAAAGTTGGCTTGATCCTGTTTTATGTATTGGAGTGATAATTGTATCCTTCCATTCTATAGGCAACTTACCTTGGCCAAGTCACATTGAATATCGTAGTCAATGGGGCAGCAATATAATGTGTAAGTTGCCTCAGTATTTTCGGATGAAATTCATCTGGTCTTTCTGACTTTTCTGTGTTTAGGGTGTTAAGGGCCTTAAGAACATCGTCTCAATTGAAGTCCACAGTGAGCAGACGATTTTTCGACTTTGTATTTGGGTCTATATTTTCATCTATAAGGTGCTTCTGAGTGAAAACTGTCCCGAAATAGTTTGCCATATCCTCTGCTTTTTCCTGATCATCCTCTGTCATTTGAGATCCACTTTCTTCCGTAATTAAGTTAGGAATTCAATGTTGCGTCGTTTTTCTGTAATTTATGTACGAGGATAGTCTCACAGATTGGGCTAACTGCTTTTCATGCTTTCTCCGAGCTTCTCCAATCGTAATCATACACTTGGCTCTTACTGACCTGTAGCGTCCCATCGTACTGGCTGTGTCAAGGCTAATGGCGATGTTTCAACATTTCTTCTTTTGCCTTAGTAAACATCTAATATCCCTGTTTATCCAGGGATGGCTGTGCCTCTTCTTCTTTGGGACTGTCTAGGGTATGAATGGCTGAGTTACTTGGTTGTATGACTGCCGGAAATGAGTCCATGCCCCTAAGTCAATTATCCAGTTCTCAACCGAGGCTGCAGAGATGATCTCATTCATTCCTGCGTTCTATATGTTAGAACAGACCGACACAACTGTTTGACAGGCCATCTCAGTCATGAATTTAAATAAGATTACAGCACGATCACTTCTCCTTAAAGGTGGAGGAAAGTTATTTGATCGACATCGTCCCTGTGTTTGAAGACTAGACCCAAGAGAGATGAGTTGTGTAGGTCATTTCTAGTTGGATCTCTAATGTGCTAGAATAAAGCTGGGGAGATTGCAGTTTCTAACAATCCGCAATCGAATGATGTTGATATCCCTACTTCTAAGTTTCCCCAATTTATGTACGGTGCATTAAAGTTGCCTGTTATAAGGGTTTTACCCCTATTACACCAGCACTTAATTTTGCTTAGAAGCAAGTCACCCACTACACATTCTGGACTGCGGTATACTACAACTGATTCAATATCTTAACGCTTACATTTGACCATGCAGCGCACCAGTTCATATGTCTCTGAGTCGTGTACCACTGTCTCGACAGCTCGTATGGTTAAAGTGCTTTTCGTGTATAGGATAACCCCACCATACCTACGGTTTAGTCTATCAGTCCTGCTAGGTAAGAAACCAAGCAACTGAATTTCACTATCATACACTTCTGACGTTACCATGTTTCTGAAATGTCAATCACATCAAAGTCTTCTGTGTCCACCACTGGTTTGAGCTCCGGCATTGTATTAGGCAGGCTGCAAGCATTTGTATACACATTTATTTCTGTAAATAATCTTCCCTCACCACCCAGAGTGGTTTGAGGATCGTTTCGCTCCAAACTTCTACGGCGTGGAAACCCTTAAGTGTAAGTTTTTTCACCGCTCCAGCGGCGCTCATTCATTTCTATCTCTGCCACCCCCAAATACTCTAGTACGGCCGAGAGTGGGGAGAGTCAACTCTCCCTCTCGGAATTTTTTTGTTTCAACATATAGATAATAGTACAAAGAGGCACCAAATACATGTGCGCCACACAAATCTCATTCGATATGTGTGAGGGCTATGATACTGCCCGGGTGCCCAGACCGAAGCAGGTGGTTCTCTTAGGGGGCCACACCCCGAGCCTTTGACCTAATGGTCTAACCCACAAGGCAGTGGAGCATCGTAAGGAGATGCAGTCCCATGGTAGCCGGTGACCAGAAATTGGTTCATACGCCATTTGTTCCCGCAGGATACTGGAGCCCATGTGCACCATTGGTTTTGAATCCGGTTAAAGCGCCGAACATTCGCTTTTCGTCCTCTCATTTTCGTAAACAACACCCGCGCCACGAGAAGGCAGTGAGTAGGACTTCCCTGGCAAAGGCTATATACGCGTGGCCGTGTGAGAGCATTTCGAGAGAGAGGGCGGACTCTCCCCACTCTCGGCCGTACCAGGGCATTTGGGGGCTCTCACACGGTCACGTGCATAAAACCATTGCCATGGAAGTCCTACTCACTGTCTTCTCACGGCATTACTGTTGTTTACAAAATTGAGAGGACGAGAAGAGAATGTCCTGCGCTTTAACCGGGTTGATGAACACAGGCAGTCCACCTAGAGGAGTTGGGAAACCCTGATTCCAAACCAATGGTGCACATGGACTCCAGTGTGCTGAGGGAACAAATGGCGTATGAACCACTTGTTGGTCACCGACTATCATGGGACTGCATCTGCTGACTTTGTTCCACTGCCGTGTGGATTAGACCTTTAGGTCGAAGGCTCCGGGTTTGACCTTCTAGGAAAACCACGTGATCCGGTTTGGGCACCCAGGAAGTTTTTCAGCCCTCACACAAACCAAACGATTTATGTGGCGTATATCTATTTGGTGCCTTCTTGCACTAATATTTATGCGTTTAAATAATAAGTAATAATAATAACTCTTAATAGGACAAACCAGTCTGAGATCCTCACGGACATCTATTCTGGACCCAGTCAGTTTGCGTGCGTTTTCCAGTATTAGGTTTTTTTTAGCAGGAGCTAAGGTAACTTTTAAGAGGCAGCTTTTCTGCGCGCTCTCGGAGTCCATTTGTTTCTCTATTGTACAAAGCTTATAGATGTTAACTCCTACCGTTTCTGGAAGCAGTTTGCTTATTAAGGGCTTAATGTGACTTAAGTCGTGTTCAAATCCAACCTTTGGTTCTTTTTGGAAGATTCTCTTAACTTATGAAAAATGGCTGACTTGTCACAGAGACCCGTCTTAACATGCTGCGAGGTTTTGCTTCTCAAAATATCTCCATTCCTACAGTTCAGTTTGGAGTCAAATGCGAATGTCTCACTTTGTTTACTTACTTTTCTTTTCTGGGTGTAATTGTAAGTAGTTCATCGACCTTATTATCTTGGTCACATCATCTACACCGCTCAGGCTTTGCTCCTCAATAGTCTATTTTGCATTGGTATGTGAATCCGGACCTGAAACCGTCGACTCACATCTCTTAGAGCTCCCTATAATTTGTTTCTTCTCAGCATGCTTTTTCCGGTAACCATGCCTACATCTGTTTGTTATCCACTACGCTATTTGGGTCCATCTTGATGGTTTCATTAAAATCCAAAGTTGGACTCATGATAATACTCACTGCTTCCTCAAAAACTGAAAACTGTTAATCTGCTGCTGGCTATTTATCTGAGGGCATCTTTTTAGCTATGTTCAGCAGTTCAACCACTTCAAAACTCAGCAGAGACTTTGTGGAGCATCATACTTTGCACAGACAACGTGATAGTGGGTTGCAGCACCTTTTATATGCAGCCGGTGTGAGTCCGGTGCACATGTTGTGATATCACTTGTTGCAGTTGTCACATTGCACTACGTCCTCGATCAGGAAAAGACGCGCGGGTCTACCACAACGATGTTTTACTCGCGCAATAAAATTGTGTATTGATCTCACAAAGAAAACAAAAATCTGATCTCTAGAATAAGTATTTTTTAAAGACCTTAAAGGTAACAGACGCTGAACACAAAAGACTGAGGTTTGTGTTACTGTAACTGAAAGCAAAAATCCGACGGAAATAAGTACAAAAAAGCCTTTACACCTTTGAATACAAACAACATTGAAAGGTTTACACAATGAGGAGATATAGCATTACCCTTTTTGTTTCCGTACTCAAAGAGTACAGATAATAAATTACTTTAGAACAAAAAATGATGCCCTTGGTTATTTCTTTATCTCTTCATTCCCTAATACATTAGTTGTATTTATAAATAGCTAAATCAAATGCGTCAAAATATATGTACTTAATCTCTAAGCCTTAACCTTTGTTTTAAAATTTTTATATTATTCCATGCATCAAACTAGCTTTCAGTATGTTTGTCGGATCACTATGTAGTTACGAGTTTAAACCGTTGTTGAATTACTACCTTGCATTCGTTTTAACTTACTTTTCTACTAATGTCAAATACTTCCAAACAGATTTTACAGAAGGTAAACAATATGAGGTTAAAATAAGACTACATAACCGATATATTTCAGTTGTTTTCTTTACTTTTTTATCCCAATAGTAAATGCAATATCAATAGGTACTAGTTTGTATATTCAACTTCAGGCCAAACTTTTATCCATGTAAACTGTTTAAACTAAATTGGAGTTCGTAACTGTACTGAAATATTTGAATGTTGAGTGCTTTAACTAATTAGTTACCTCTATAAGTACTTATCGAAACCTTTGTGTCTGCATTTATAAGTTTCCCATGGTTTTCGGCAAGTGATCTTATCAACATTTCCCTTCTAAACCTAACCACAATTTGTTTTATTGTTCACTTTTAAACTTAAAACAAGATTACCATTTATTTGCTTAAAGTATTGTGTTAACATTCCGTTAATTTCTTTATTATTCAAATGTTCGTTTGTAGACTGATAAATTGGCTAATTTTAAAATCGTGACTGTAAACAAACAAACATCGTAATCATAATGTCGACCAAAGGTGATAAAGCGGTTGAAAGACAAATGCAAATGTTTGAAATCGAAATGATGCAACAAGTATTTACCAGTATGACAAGTAGCTGTCTAGCTAAATGTATTCCATCTAATTATAATGATGGTGATCTAACTAAAGGTGAAGCAGTTTGTTTAGATAGATGCGCCTCAAAATTTATGCAAGCGTATATGCAAACTACTAAGAAGTTGTCTACAATGGCATCATCAGACCCGAAAGTGGTAACTAGTAACTAGACTTTTTCAGGATATACTCTGGAAAAAGTTCGCTTTCTAAACTGAAAATTGAGATGTAAAGAAACATATCCTTGTTTTCTGTATTATATCGCAATTGTAAATTAGTTGTATTTTTAAAGTACAACTATGTCAAAATGAGTTTACATTCTGTGGTAAATTTCTCATGAAGAGCTAGTGAACTGATTGTTTAGATGAAGTATTACTAGACAATTAGGTAGTCTGGTTTTGTTATGAACAACATTCCTCTGAAGTTGACGGTTCAATGTTTTATTCTGAAGTAACAAAACTGTTAAGTACTCTGATTGGTTTGTCTTAAGACTCATTAGCGTATGCTAACCCCCCCAGATTTCATGTTAAGATTTTAAAAACTGATTCCGAATTTACTTCTGAACGTTTGTAACCCTCCCCTCGTCACTTGGATTTAGTTATTAAGTCCCACTGAACACTTTGCTAAATGTGGTGACAAGTATGATATAATCTGTAATGACAAGTTTTCTGGGGATGGAAATATTGGTCCAAAAGGGTTCGTGAGTGTAAATAAAGGTCTACGTTTAAGTAAAAGTTTTCAAAGAAAATAATAAGTTTACACTTTAACTCCTTGATCAAATATCTGAAATTATGGACTTACAGTTGCAAATATTATCCCACCCTCTTAATATGTTTCTGTATTAATCAATAAAATGAGGAAACTTATGTTGAAATTTGTTTTGTCATTGTAGGCATGACGTAATAGGTGAGTAGTTTCTGTTTTTCCCATCATACTTAGTGTTGCTTGATAATAAAGCACAAATTTATGAACATAGTTCCGTCTGATAACCGAAGAGAGCTCGAGTCTTTTTCTTGATCCTTTCTCAAAAATAGTATTATAGCTTTAGAACTATGTGCTGAGTGGTTTAATGGTCGTATATCTTTGGAGATCCGAAATGAATGCCGAAACTATTTCTAAATAGTGCTGCGCTCAACTGGGACTAGCTCCAAGATGAGTTGTGCGTAGCTTTAATAAGTCGGGTCCATAATGCAACTCATCATGTCAACTTATAATTCTGCGTACTAACTTTCTTGCAGCTAGGAAGCACTATTTCTTAAAAGAAATGAAAGCGATGATCATATTATCTATCGTCTGTCGAAGTTTTTCATAAGTGATAAGGTAATACTCAATAAATTGATAGGTATTTATCTTTTTAAAAGCCCACTCAATCAGAAAATCCATAAAAGATTCCAACAAATATATTCGGTAACTTTTCATCAGGCTTTACTACTACAATTAGATGAATCTGTTCGGGATACTTGAGTCGGTGTTTAGTAAATTCATAGAACGTGCACATGAATTGGAGAGTTGAAAATGATCATAATAATGGTAGCAAAATTGTAAGTGTATATGATTTGTTGGAAGTTTATGCGTTAGTATCACAGAGAAATAGCTAGTTGATTTCACTCTAGACATGTGTTAGCGGGACATAGACTGGACTGAAGCATGCTCAGTTGCTTTGGTGCGCGCTGATTGGCTAATTCTTATCCAATCAGCACTAGTCGATACTTTGGAGAATACTCTAGAATCTCATGCAAAAACTATAAATATAGTAACGTTCTTCCTATTGCGCTACTTACTTCCATCTAACCTTGTTATTTGGAATGTAATCTCTTTTCCTGTACAACCGTGTTCTGATTTGGGGAACTTGTCGAGCGAATCGGTGTCCGAGAATACTAAGCAATTGGAATAGCTGGTTTATAACCGTAAGAGAGAATCATAACAACATGTTTGAACTTTACTAATCGTGACTTCCCACTAGAACTTCATAAGCGCATTTCGAAGTAAGTCACCTGTGAGTTTGTTACAGTTTAGACGAATGGGTTTTGTGGGGTCGAGCCATGATGGAGTCGTAGATGCCTACTCCAGAACAGTCCCATACTAGGGCGTAACATCTGTCTACTCGCTATCTAGTCTTTTTTCCTGATGAATATCACTTACAAAATAGAAACACAAGATTCTCAGTCGTAATAGTATGAATGCTACTTGTTAGTTGACGACTGGTCAGTCAAGAGAGAGTAAAGGTCACACTAAGTAACCAATGGTAATATACTGCAATATATTGTGGATTATTGAATATAACTAATCATTTTGATGTTCGGTCCTTACCAAAACACCGACCTAAATAAATCTAGATATTTCCCTTGCATCGACATTTATAGTTAGATCCATTATAGGATGCTTGAAAGTCAACTAGTTATTTAGGTGAAAGTTGCATAACAAACCGCTTCCAGATAAGACGTTTCCAAAGGACACTTGGTAGAGTTGTGAAGCTTTATCGAGTGTGTTTGTAAGTGTATGATTTTGTATAATTCTTAACCCTTAATGCAGCATTAGGCTTGGCAAGGCAACTGATGAGTCCTAAATACAGATAGCAAACTTTGCGTGAGTTGGTTGGAAATCAGAAACATTTGGACGAATGTATTCAATTCTTATTACCCTCTCAATCTTAAGCATTTTGTAGCGTTAACTACGTTTTTGTGCAGTATCTGTGGATTTTCTTTAGTAAGTTCTTAACTCTCATTATTATTGTGGCTACGCCGAGTCGTAAGGTTTTGAGCAGTACCATACGTATATACATAATTTTCAAAACAAATTTATTTGACGTCTACAACAAGTGATCTCAAAGATCTTTACACTTAGTCTGAATAATCAAATTCAGATAGTCAACGTGTTCTGTTTTGTTTACCTGAAATACTACTGTTGTTAATTTTGATCCGTTGTAGTGTTTGTTCCTTCGAATTTCTAACTTAATTGTATGATGGTTGGAGACTAGGCAACATGGCTTAGAATCGACCATAATGGCGTAGGTGTATACACTTTTCTCATTAAACAATGAGATTAAAAGAACTATATACGTTTTTTTCTACGAACTGGTTCTCTCTGTATCATATCCTTATACACATTCTTTTTTATATGGTACTACCATTGAAGTAACTGCTTCTATGAATTTGGTGTTCATCTTGTTGTGCTGAGGTAGAGCAACTCGGACCAATGCATATATGTGTTTGGTCCTACGTTGCAGATGACTGACCGTATGATGTCCGTTTCTCAAGAAACATTTATTCGTCCAACTAATATTAGGTGACATTAATGTACTAGATGCTGTTGTCAACTATGGTTTGTACGTCAAACGGTCAGTCTATCATTATCAACATGGGGTATGGAACAGGTTTGTGTTTTAACTTAAGTTTCTATACTACTTTAGCACGACAAGAAGTTTGGAAGATCAGTGGTAAAATGGTCAAAATAATGTAGAAGCGATGTTTATGCGGTAGACTGGGTATTGAAAATATGCTTCGAAAAGACAAAGACACGCAAGCAGAATTACTGTTACTCAAAACCAAGAGAGAGCATACACTTGAACCAGTGCAATCGATTCTAACTAATACCATGCAACATTCCTATCAGCTGTTTGTGGTTATCTTCTGGACACTAGCCAAGTGTATTGGGTTAATAAATACGATGATTTTTCAAGTTCGATGAAATTACAGTGGATCACTGTGCTAATCAAGCCGAATATCCTTTATTCCAAGTAGGCGGCTCTCAAGTGAAATTTAGCCAAGAGATAAGGTTTACGCTAATCTCTAAAATCAAAAGATTTAAACTATCTAGTGCTGCAGTAAATGTTAGAATGAACATTCTGAATTTAAAAACCTTGAATCGCGAGGCCTTTAGGTGTTGGCTACACTTTAAAGTCACAAACAACATGAAAAGTGAGTTGTTTTTTAGAAGAGTTGGATCCAGGAGGAAAATGTTTGGTAGAAACATCTATTGGAATTGAGGGAGGAATAAAATGATAAGTAAGGGTGATAAAAGTACTTAATTGAGGTAGAAAGATGAATGTACATGATAAGATCTGTGGAGTATAACTCGTTACAACAATAAATTGAACTACCTACTCTTGACGAGTAGCACGATTTTAAGCAGGAAATAAATAGTCTAAGAGCGAAACTTCAAAAAACAATTTTCAAACAGATAACTTCGCTTCTTTCAACCACTAAAACAGAAATAGTTTCACAAAATTGATCAGGCTTGATGTTTTATTGGTCTGTTTAGTTAGATTTCAGCTGGTAATATCTAGTCACTAATTCTACCACATGGTAATTTGAGTATGTGTCTAGACAGTTATTGAGATTTTTTTGATTGAGATCATGAACCGATTGATGTTAGACAACCATTGAAAACCTAGAAGCACTGGACGACTGTTTAGTCCTATTGTGGGACCCCTCGGCAGTGCGCATCCACGGTCCTGCTCGCGGGATTCGAACCGAGGGCCTCCAGTCTCGAGCGCGAACGCTTAACCTACTGGACCACTGAGCCGGTATCCAATGGTGTTAATGTCTAACCTCAACCAATCCACGAAATCGCGCGACCATCTTCCATTGTACTGAGGTAGACACCTGTTTCTACCCGACACTAGTGAGAGTTTGGCATACCATTTAAAGCACGACCGTACGTTTGTACCAGCTAAATAGGATTCTCTGGTGTCTGTTGCAATTCTTCAAAGTTATTAGGGATTCTGTTCACTAGATCTGACTCCAAAGACGGACTAACCTAGAATATTTTCCAAAAACTTGGGCACTCGCACGCTGCCGTTCGTCAGACTGCTAAGTAAGGAGACAAACAGAAAAAATGACATTGTACCGCGCAAGATTTCAAATAAAAAAACTGAAAGGAACAAAAGAAATAATAATATAAATCTATCAGGAGTTATGTTGAATGTTCAAATCTGAATATAGTGAGACAACACAAGGTTAGCGAAGATCCCATAGTTGAGAAATATTTTAATAGATGCATATCAGTGATAACACACTGAATTCCTAACGCTAAATTATATATTTGACTAAGGGAATCAATACTATTGTGATGGACAGAGTAAATTTCGAATTTCCAACAAGGTTATATGATTATGCAACAATTCATAGGAATTGACTAAAATGTCAAAGGAATCAATGCATTTGCGTGAAACCGAATAAACAATTGAAAGAATACTAATCCGAAGTAGGAGCACAACTAATTAGATATAAAAACTAAACTCGGGATAATCTCAGAGAAAAATTTAAATAATTTCAACTGTCCACCTGGTCATCTGATGTGTTTTTCCAAGGAAATAATGAGGTTGAAAGCTGAATAAATCATGAGTACCGAATCTATAGACTGATTTAAACAGATTTATCAGTTTGAGATAACTTCGCTACATTTCTAAACGCGCATAAGCTGCTGATATACTACTCATCATATTGTTGAATTAGGAGACCTGGTTGAATGTTGACAGTTTTTTTGCTGCAGACGAAGGCAAAAGTACTACCAGTGAAACATGAATATTTGGGGAAATTGACAGAAACGTTAAAGTAATAGAGATTCCCATAATGAAAATAAGCGAACAATATTGTTCCCAATTAGATCGTCATCACACATATCTATATGATTGGTCTGGTATTTTCCTATAAATATTCATGTCATATTAGAGCTTGATGATCGCGTTAGAAACAATGTTGTTCGCTCATATGTTTTCTCCCCAAGGCATAGTCATACTTGAAGTCTAACCAAAATTTCTCGGAAGCTCAATCACCTACATAGTGTTTGAGAGCTCTTTTAGGTACACTACCAATGGCTTAGGCAGCAGCGCTAACATGGATTTTGCGAAGCTGTTAGCCTATCACATGTTCACGCCATTAAAAGTCAGACCTCAGAACATCTTTTTGCATACATATTCACCAAACACACGTTCTTAATGGGCCAAACCACTTGGACTTGTTCCTATAGAATAGCAAACAACATTCAAGAAGTGGGATTATGTGTCAGTTTATCGCTCACTGGCTGTTGATTGGCCATTGTACAAGTTAGACAATCGATTGTTTGAAAGACCAATCAGAATTATACTGACACCGATCCTGATTCATAGTGACACATACCGTATGTTTTAACAGGCTGAACGAACTTAGAATTCTTTGAATGTCATCGAGTGTGGATTTCTATTCTCCTATTTATTAGTCGCCGCATTTATTAAGGTAGTAATTATCATTTGTTTTTATTTTCGAATATGTATGTTGTTAGTGAAATCAAGTCTGGAGTCGTAAAGTAAAAATTATGTGCTCCATGGACTTTATTCATCATTGAGTGTGAAGGTTTTTGAGGGTTGGAGCTGCGGTGTGGAGGTGACTGATTGTCCTGTAGGGTGGTAGCTGGTTATTGATGGGGATTCGTTATGAACTGATTGTGTTTTCTAGGCCTAATTGTAACTCAACCATTATGTGTAAAAAGAATTCTTAAATTAGAAAAACCTTTACATGGATTAACTATCTGTTTATGTGATCAGGACTTTTATGTTGAGTCAAGGTACATTAGACATTACAGTAAATCTTTTATTTGAAAAAGCCGGTTATATGATTCCAAAAACAAAGTCTACATCGATTAAAAATCATGATCTAAATCTTGCGACTCTTCTGCAAACTACTGGTCAGTGTTCTAAGCTGAATTTCCTTTACGGATTCTTAGTCAGCAAATTAAACACAAATGGCGTCAGACTACTTTTTTCGCTAGCAACATGTTATACCACTTCAAATAAGGTTTTCAAAACACTGGTTTGAGAAACCTCTTGAATAAGTAAGCGTTTCCATTAGCTTAAATGCATGGGATGGTGCTTGGTCTGTTGCAAGTTTATGGAATACGCTAAAATGAAATATACACTTCACTTTGGGTCAACCATAAAATGTTTCTGATTAGTAGAATTTAGTAATGTTCGTAGACCAACTCTCCCTAGCTCCCTTATGAACTTTTTCAAACTTAGGATGGGTGTAGAAATCTACTATCTGTTTATGTGATCAGGACTTTTATGTTGAGTCAAGGTACATTAGACATTACAGTAAATCTTTTATTTGAAAAAGCCGGTTATATGATTCCAAAAACAAAGTCTACATCGATTAAAAATCATGATCTAAATCTTGCGACTCTTCTGCAAACTACTGGTCAGTGTTCTAAGCTGAATTTCCTTTACGGATTCTTAGTCAGCAAATTAAACACAAATGGCGTCAGACTACTTTTTTCGCTAGCAACATGTTATACCACTTCAAATAAGGTTTTCAAAACACTGGTTTGAGAAACCTCTTGAATAAGTAAGCGTTTCCATTAGCTTAAATGCATGGGATGGTGCTTGGTCTGTTGCAAGTTTATGGAATACGCTAAAATGAAATATACACTTCACTTTGGGTCAACCATAAAATGTTTCTGATTAGTAGAATTTAGTAATGTTCGTAGACCAACTCTCCCTAGCTCCCTTATGAACTTTTTCAAACTTAGGATGGGTGTAGAAATCTACTATCTGTTTATGTGATCAGGACTTTTATGTTGAGTCAAGGTACATTAGACATTACAGTAAATCTTTTATTTGAAAAAGCCGGTTATATGATTCCAAAAACAAAGTCTACATCGATTAAAAATCATGATCTAAATCTTGCGACTCTTCTGCAAACTACTGGTCAGTGTTCTAAGCTGAATTTCCTTTACGGATTCTTAGTCAGCAAATTAAACACAAATGGCGTCAGACTACTTTTTTCGCTAGCAACATGTTATACCACTTCAAATAAGGTTTTCAAAACACTGGTTTGAGAAACCTCTTGAATAAGTAAGCGTTTCCATTAGCTTAAATGCATGGGATGGTGCTTGGTCTGTTGCAAGTTTATGGAATACGCTAAAATGAAATATACACTTCACTTTGGGTCAACCATAAAATGTTTCTGATTAGTAGAATTTAGTAATGTTCGTAGACCAACTCTCCCTAGCTCCCTTATGAACTTTTTCAAACTTAGGATGGGTGTAGAAATCTACTTGAGATTTCATTAAAGCACTTAGTCAAAATCGGTAATAGTACTATGTGTTCGTCATCATCTTTTGTTGTTACCTCGATATTTCTTTGAGGAATGTAAAGTTGACTTCTGTGTATCTGAATGAAAGTTGTACAATGTTCTTGATAACTAGTCCTATGTGTGCGTCATGACCGTGTAACCTATTAGCATTTTATTTACTTTACGGTTTCGGCCTGGTTGGGTTGCCTGTTAGTTGAGTAATTTGTTTAGTGACTTTTCGCACTAACCTGGCAAAGTAGAATGCTATCCTATTTCCGTCTGGAATTCCTGAAGGCACAATCTTCGACTCATTTACTTGGACAAGTCATTCGACGATATCCCAACTACCTACTTTTCATGGGCTAACGGAAAGTTATTTCATTTCAGAATGGGTCTTTGGCTTCAGGCCCCTTTGGTTTTGTTATGCATAGTGATCTTGGTTTCATCGGTGCCTACATCAATACAAAAACACGAGCTTGAAGAAAATGATTCGTAAGTTAAATTTACGATTTTTGAATGCCGTTTTTTTCTGTTAATAAAACCACTTTACGTTTATTATTAAGACATACTTTATATGGTTAGTCATATTAGTGTATCTAGTTGATTTTATGTTGACTTTTAAGGAACTGTTACTAATGATCAATATGTTTGAAAAGGCTACAAACAAATTCTGGAGATGGTATTGTTGACTGGAGTTCTGTCTACTCGGCTTATGGACCTGTCTACCAATCCTGCCAAATAGATCTCATTAGCTTGTAGTGTTTCACACAATGGGAATTGTGTATCACATTTGTATAGGTCATATTCCAGGATATTTCCTCTGCTGAATTAAGCCATGACATTTTGAATGAATTTACATTCATATCAAGTTTATCCTTGACTAACTTATATTCCAGTACCAGTTCCGGCACACCCAAGAATTACGTTCTTATTTGTACTACTAAAACTTTATAGTTACATGTCACTTTCTATTAGAATTTTCCCATCGTTAGTTTTTACAAGACAACGGCTTATTGTGAAGCATGTCTCTACGTTTTGATCATTCTTTGGCCTAATAGATCTCTCGTCAACAAGATCTTTACGCTAAGCGCACTAATGTTAGTAGATAGATCATAACTAGTGTCGTAGTTGTTACACTTAAGTTCCAGGTTGACTCTTTGTCCACCAGGGAGTGTAGATAGTCGGTGGGGGTATTTTAATCATACTCTGAAGTGATAAGAACGGATTCAAGACTTTGGAGCGCCTATTAATAGGAACCAGGGTTGCATGTGTTCCGTGTGATTTTTCGACTTATGTTACTTACTTCTTGAGGATAGCAGAGACGTGTTCTTTTCGAGAGGCAAAACTTGATGACCAAAATACACGATCATCTCTTGCTTTAAACTTCTCCAGCTTGTCTGGGTTACTGGGATCTAGATACCTGGTGTCAGTAAAACAAATGACATACCGATCAACGTCATTCACTGTTGTGCAGGATTACTTATATATTTTTAGGCACAAATATTGGTACAAAAGGAAACTAACGTATGTATGTGCCACTCAGACCATTGAATTTGCGTGGGCTAGGATACTACCCGGATCCCCGAACCAGAGGTAATCTTCTTAGAGGGCCGTTATTCTCCGCGACGTTGACCTGTAGGTCTAATCCACAAGGCAGTAGAGTATACTGTCGGTTGCTATGTACACCGAGTGAGCCAACTCCATTGTGCATCATTGCAAGAAGCGATTTCCTACAGGTGTAACTCTAAGCTATTCTCTAGACTGTCGAGCACAGAGTCTTGGTTTAACCAAAGTCAGAACAAGTAAGCTATTTGGCTTGATAAACTTTATCTGTTTTTAAAACATAAATTAACACCGTTAGTATACAAAATAAATAGTACAGTCTATTAACACGGAGAAAAACAGAGACATAAGCAACATACCGAACAGTAACTAGAGTATAGGAAAAATGAGTCAACAAGGCAAATATTGTTTTATAATGAACATAAAATTGTGATTGGTGAATAAACAAGATATGGTCATACAAGGTCAATGAAAGTTAATGTGGTGGTGGTCGTTTTACTTTATCATTGGTGAGTTCGTTTATCGATCACATTTTACATCACTTCGTTTTGCTTCGCTTTCAGATCAACGATTGTACGTATTCAAAAATCCATTCTCGTATTTATTTAATTCCATCATTCACCACATCGCGATCTAAGTCGATGATTATATACGAGGATTGGCGATATGTATATTTCGATAGCAAGCAGCAAACGATATACCTGAGGTCAGATAATGGGCCCGGCGTAATGACTAATATAAGAAATGCACACACATACGCTCACATAGAATCAGTCAAGGTTGGTAAGTGAATAAGTGACGGTAAAATGTGCCTAGGAAAGAATGAATAGACTGATCTATCCAGAGGCTAGAATAAGCTATGTGGGCGTGCATAGCAACCGACATTACGACAGCAACGTTAGTAGAAGCGGTCCTATGGTAACTGGTGACCAAGATTAGGTACATATCCTATATGTTCCCTCAGGATCCTGGGACGCATATGGACCACTGGTTTCGGATAAGGTTTATCCAACCTCCCAATGTAGATCCTATATACTCATTAGCCCGGTTTAAGCTCCGGTCATTCATTTTTCTTTCTCTTAATTTCGTGAACAACACCCCCACCGCTAGGTAACTAGTAGGGTTTCCCTGACAGTGACTGTATGCCGGTGGTCATACGATGATTTGAGGAGGGAGAGTGGTCCCCCACCCTCGGCCGTACCAGGCCATTTAGGGGGCGGTGCGTAGAATTCTAAATATAATTGAGATGGTCTACCGAGTAGATTGTCTTAAAAATAGGAATCAAAATTAATTAGTTTTAGTTATTTTTGACATTTAATTTATTATCCTTTAATCTCTTTAGCTTTGACAGTCAACTGATAGAGGATAACAGATCACATTTTCGAGGACGCCAGTCTGGTAACTGGCTTGAATCTGATAAAAGTAGGCTATTTTTATATAACAGCCCTAGTTTTTCAGTTACTTTTTGTTAACTATGTCACATCATCAAAGCGGTCTGGGTTACATAGGATTGAAATCATTAAATTATAAAAAGGCCCAACCAAACGTATACTGGGGAATACTATGTGGTTAGAATAATATGTTTTGCGTTTTGAGCTTCCAAATTAAACCTGGTTATTTCTGTGCATACATATGTTGATAATCCACGAGGACAGTTTTTTTGTTTCGGTAGAACAGTTAGTTGGGGCATGGTTAATTTTGGCACGTTGATTATTTAGGTTTCAGAATACAGTCAGTGTTATGCTTAGGATTGATTTCGCTGAAACCGTTTGGTAAGCTGCCCATACGAGCTGAACACCAGTTATGGTCACTGTCAAACTATCATGTTAAATACATTTTCGGTTCCATGCCACCGTAGTTCAATGTTTCGTAGTCAAGACAGAACTAAAATTCGGTTGATATTAAGTCTAAGCATTATCATTTGAAAAAAAAAACAATACCGAGTGGAATTTCAGTTATTTAAATAGACCATTGATTAGCACTTAAGACTTTTAGTGCCGTCTGATAGTAAGTACCATCGAATAAAAAGGAAGTGAAAAATGTATCTGTAAAAAGTAGCCTTGTAGCAAGACTATAATTAACAAACTCTCAATGTTTGTATTTGAGAAATGTGGGAATCAATGTCCTGTTTTTTGCCTACAAAAGTTACTGTTCAGTACTCAGATGAAATTTGATAGTAGTTAATTTATCGCATTCATTAGAAAATCAGTCTCCTAATCCTCAAGTTAATCATTTAAATCTCAGTTCTGGTTCATTATTTTATAAATATATTTCATTATAAATTATTAAGAAGCTTAGAAATTATTTTCCATAGACCAGTTGTTGTTACATTCACGTACTATTTTCCTTACTGTCTAGCATTTATTTATTTATTTCGTTCATGAAGTAAGTTGGTTATTTTCTGTCAAACAAATGGATTTCTCAGTGAATTTTGTGCACCTTCTGGCAAAAATAAACTATGTACTATTCATTCATTAGAGTTGGTACTGAATGTCATGCTGATGTCTAGTAGTTGGTATGCAGTGGTGATTATAAAACGGTTTTGAATGCTCTTGGCTTTTCAGTAATTCTGCCAAGTTGTAGATGCGAACGAAGACTTAATGATTCTGTAAAAGGCTGTGCCATTAAGAGTCTAACACTTCCAACCGCTAAGTTTCCATCTACAAACGGGGTTAAAACTTTTTTTCTATGTAGTTAAGACGAAATGCTTTAGAGGATTATCAGTATTTTATAGGTAATTTTATTTGCAGTTGGTGTGAGCTAATTTGTTTTCCACATTTTGTTTTATCGTTTTTTGCAATTTATTTATTCCTTTTAAATTGCTGTTCGATGTACTACTCACTTTTTTTCGGTATAAGCTTTGTGTGAATTTTGCTGTTTGTTTGTCTTTGATGTTGTGATTTCACACTACACACACTAATTGACCATAAATATGTGGCTTGTTGATTAAAACACTTGTAAATGATAAGCTGTTGGTTTGAATCCTATTTCACCTGCTTCGATATTATCACTAACCGGATTCATAACCATCTACTTGGCTAGTGAATTTCATCATATTATTATATTTTAACACTAACTAATATTAAATTTTATCCTGTTGATTAACCAATAGATGATTCATTACCTGGTGAAAGACGGTCACGTAGGCGTCGCAGAAAACATGTGAGTTTCAAGTCGAATTTGTTTAACATTTTCCTGTACCATTGGTTTCATCACACTCCAATAACGCTTTTCTGTTCAGCTGTTGAGGCGCAATTATGGGTGTTTCCAACTAATTCTTTTCACTCATTATATAGTTTATATATGCAGGGGTTGTTGATTTACTTACTTTTGTGTAATTAACATTGACTAGTTAAAAATATCTTAAGCTTTAAAAAACTAGCTAGTATTCCTAGTCCTTACACTAAAAGCATTACCTCGAAACTAGATGCACAAAGAGGTACTTGGTGAGTTATTTCTGTATTGTGATTGGTGATTCACAAACGGGTAAATTGACGGTATTGTCTTATCGAAATTCCCAGGAGATTAAGTCGTTCTAACTGTGCGAGGGATTGTTGTATCTTCAAAAAGGACAAATTCTTAAATTGTATTAGATGTTGTGTGAATGTCCACTTATTATGGAAGGATTTATTTTATCTAGTCCAGTTATTGACTTATTCGCCTATATTTTCTATGGGACTGGTGGTCTCTCTACCTAATAAAACTACTACCTTCTCCTAACCAGTGACTCAGCAACTGTATCTAATGTCTGGAGAATCTTAATGCTTGTTGTCGCGCGAGCTGTTCCCGAGTAGTAGACAAATATAGTAAGCAGATACCTTCCGGGTAGTTTTCTTAGGTGGCCACACTCAGAGCCTTCGACCACAAGGTCTAATCAACAAGGCAATGGAGCATCGTAGGGGAATGCAGTCCAATGGTAGCCAGTGACCAACAATTGGTTCATACGCCATTTGTTCCCTCAGCACACTGGAGTCCATGTGCACCATTGGTTTGGAATCAGGGTTTTCCAACTCCTCTAGGTGGACTGTCCGTGTCCATCAACTTGGTTAAAGTGCCAGGCATTTGCTTTTCGTCCTCTCAATTTCGTAAACAACAGTAATGCCGTAAGAAGACAGTGAGTAAGACTTTCCTGGCAGAGGCTATATATGCGTGGTTATGTGAGAGCATTTCGAGAGGGAGAGCTGACTCTCCCCACTCTCGGCTGTACCAGGGCATTGGGGGATCGTCATTCTAGATTTGGAATGACGAGTGAAATAAGGGTTTTTGGATCAAACCGAAGCTTTCATGTAGGGGAATATAATAAACATTCCAAGCACATATTAAGTATACAATAGAAATATTAACAGTAATTCTCTGTAGAATAGTTCCTGAAGCTCGACCTTTCTCAAACCTTATTCTAAATCACACAGATTACATTTTTAAAAATATGAGCTTAGTTTTTCCCTACAGTATTTCAAAAATGTATGTGCGAGTGACGACTGAAAGAAACACTCACCAAAAATGTTTTATTTGGTTCTGATCTTTTGTATTTCTATCCCATATTCAAAGCATTTTGGGACAAATTTCTGAACTTTAATTATCGTGACCATTTCCCCCTCTCTGTTATTGATTTTCCCGTTGTAATACTTTTACTGTTTCTGCTTTTCATTCGTTTGCCAAATATTGCGTTTATTTCATAGGTTTCATTACTCGATTGTCGTCACATTTTCCCGAATATATTCGTTTGCAATGGCATAGTTGCATCCATTCTTCGTCTTCCTCCAAAATCTAAGCATCTGAATTTCCTATATTTTTTTTAAATTGCCGTAATTTATATATTTTTTAAATTGTTTGCAAGGTGGATATTTTTTTCTATTACCTCTGAAACTATTACTCTGTCTGCTACTCTAAAATTTACCCTAACACTTTCATCTCGTTGTGCTAATGGGATGTGGAAACTTGAACCGTTGTACACACATATCAGGTTCTACTTGACGACATACGGCCCTATTTCCTATTTCGAATCTCTTATGTTTTTTATCCTGTTGATTTTTTTCCCGTCTAAATCTCTGTGCTATTGTGAGTTGCAACAACCCCGATACACAATAGCAGATCATAGTTTCATTAACCAACTAATATTTCTAGTATTTTCTCAACAATAATGTAGTTGTTTATCTTATCCTTATTTGTGATTGTTAAATGTTACTGTTTTCCGTTTTATTACGAAAAACTACTTTTCTTTAAATATGGCCCAGATTTAAATTATTACAATATGTTATTCTGAATTACAGTTGTCCACATTCAACATTATATACCAAAGGCACGTTAATGAAACTGCCTTCAACTTTTGCTGGGATGACTATCGTATTTGTTAATAAATTATTTTCAACTCGCTATCAGTTTTCTTCAAAATGGATTTCTCAAAATTTTAGCTGGATTTCGTAATATACGTAGTTAACCACATCAAACGTAATTCAACAACTCATCAGTAATGTTAGCTGAAAATCCTACTGCAGCACATATTGACTGAAGTTAAAAATATGAGCAGTTAAATTCTGACTCAGTTGTTTGAGTAGTATCGTGTTCCCTGTAATATCTGTCCTAAGCTCAATCTGATGTATGTTGTCGAGACCGTCCTCGTCGTTAATGATTTCCGTTGTACAATTAATCCTAGTTCATAATAAAAATACCTTTCAAATAGTGCAAACTCCATATAAAAACCACCTTAGGAAGTACCGTTTTATCAATTATCTATTTAAAATTGTTTATACATTATATTATTTCTACATTTTTATGTTTCCTCGCAGAACCGAAATTGTGAACAACCAGGCCAATGTCCTGAAGGTAAATTACCGACTAGTATTTTTTTAGATGCTTATAACTAAGTTTATTTTATGAACAGATTTATTTAAATTAAACTTTTTCCAGTTGGATAATCATCAGTTTACCAACCTATTCAAAGTAATTCCATATATATAAGGCCTCTCGAAGTTCTCTCAATAATTACTGTATAAAAGGCATAGGATATGTTAAAATCATAAAATTATATTTCGTTATACAGATGATACCGTTTTGTATACTTAAGATTTCACTAATCCATCAGGTATTAGAATCTTATTACGTCATTCTATAATTAAACAAGTCATGTATGCAGATGACTCCTGAATGAATTCAGTCTTTTTCCAGGAAACGCTTTGTCACTCAAAATCCGCCCAAGACCTTTAGCCGACTTTTGACCAAACAAACCTATGCCATCTGGATACTATTTTAAGGCAGTTTAAAAATCTTCGAAAAAAGGACCAACTCCGTGAAAGTCAAGTAAAGTTGTTATTCATAAGAGCATATCTGTAGGAAACTATTATTTATTTATTCGAACACATAAATATTGGTACAAGAATGAGCCAAATATATATGCGCCACACAAAACAATGAGAATCTAAAGTGAAGGGAAAAAAGGCAAGGAGTGCAAAAAAAGAGAACGATAACGAAAAGATTGGTGTAGGGTAGTGGAGTAATAATAATAGTAATAATGGGGGAACGGAAAGGTACAACCAGAAGAAATCTCTTAGTTAAGGAAGATAAAATCACTTTTTACTAAGACAGTAAAAGAAGGTTACAGCAGGATCGCCACTGGCGTCTATTCTTAGCCATATCTGATAACGTCTCTAGCCACTGTGTTGCACCATCTCTCGGACCCCAGTCAGGGAGTCGTGAAGGACCAACAGAAGCCAGCCCTTTTCAGCTTTCTTTCATATACTGACCACCTCTCCGCCTTTTCCAACCAGTCCCAGAGTCGGCAAATAATGCACGACGTGGAATTCTCTCGGCCGACATTCGTAGAACATGTTCAAGCCACCAAAGTCGATGTTTCAAGATGGTAACACCAATTGGATTATCGTCTCTGCGCCGGAACACACGATACCGAACCTCTGCACTACTAACATGGTGTTGCCACTGGATGTCAGCAATCCTTCGGAGACAACGATGATCAAACACAGAGAGTCGTCTAACATCTTCAACTTGGAGGCCAGGTTTCACAAGCATAGAATAGAACTGCTCTCACCGACGCGTTGTAGATCCGACCTTTTACAGCCAGACTGACATCACGAAGGTGCCAAAGATGGCCCAAATTGGTATAATCCGCTCTGGCTTTCACTATACGTGCATTGATCTCATCACTCATGCCACGATCAGCACTTACGTAGCTACCTAGATACACGAACTTCTCGACTACTTCTATCTGCTCACCATCCAGGGTGAGTACAGGATTAGGATCCTGCCAGTCTTGTAGAAGTACTTTGCACTTCGAATGTGCAAAGCACATACCGTACCTACGTACATTGATTGCCAACTGATTAAGTGCGGATTGCATGGCTTGGGCATTATCACACAGTGAGACAATATCATCTCCATACTCAATGTCGAGAAGTCTTTCTCCAGGCAACAGATCCACACCGCCATTACTTACATCCCTCAGGGTTGTTTCCAGAATGTCATCGATGGCAAAGTTGAAGAGGAATTGTGAGATTGGGCAACCCTGCCTAACCCCACTGCTTGAATGGAACAATGGAGAGAGGTGGTTGTATGCCCTCACTCTACCTGAGGTAATTGTATATAGGGCATTTAAGGTGTGAATAAACTTCTCAGGCACACCCTTCAGTAGACAATCCCAGAGAACAGTCATATACAACGAATCGAAGGCAGCCCCGATGTCAAGAAACACTACGATTGTTGGCCTTTGATAAGCATGACGGTGTTCTAACATTCGGAGGAAAGTGAAGATATGATCAATACATCGTCGACCAAAACGAATCCCAGCCTTCTCGCGAGTCAATCTTTCTCGGGTTTTGAACAACCTACGAAGTATGACAAGCCAATAGCTTGGACGCAATCGGAAGTAGACTTATCCCCCGATAGTTATTACAGGAACAACGTGAATCCTTTTTAAAGATAGGGACAACTATCGACTCATTCCATGACGTTGGTAAACTCTCGAGCTCCCAAACCTTTGTAAACAACGTCGTCAGTTCCTTAGTCAGAAAGTCACCACCATCTTTAAAAAGAGCCGGAGGTAAGTCATCTGGGCCAGGTGATTTGTAACGCTTCAAGAGTTGGAGTTCCTTGCGGACTTCCTCCTCATTTGGTGGATCAGTCGTCACCGGCCGTGGAGGGCAGGACAGTCTGACCGATGTTGCCGGAGCAGCAGGCCAGTTGAACTGCCCTTCGAAAAATTCTGCCCACCGTCCAAGACGTCGATGGATGTTAGTGATTGGCATCCCATCATCCTCACAGATTGTTTCACTCACACCAGACTTCTTGCTGCCAGTGGCTCGGATGAGCTGGAACAGCTTCCGGTAGTTACCAGATGCAGCTGCTGCTTCCAGCTCATTAGCACGCTTCGACCACCAGGCTTCTCGGTCCTTACGCAAGCTTTGCCCGATTTCAGTACGTAACATCCTTCGTTTATGGTCAAACTCACGGTCACCCGGAGTAGACCGATGGGCTTCAATGAGTTGTAAGGAACCAGAAGAAACCCAGTGCTTAAAAACGGGACGTTTCGCGAACCCACAACTGACTGTTCCCGCCATTTTCATGGCGTCATGCAATTGCAACCAATGCTCATCTATACTTTTCGGTGGAGTGGTAGCTAGCCTAGAGGCTAGCTTGGTTCGATACTTACTTGCAACAGAAGTTGCAACCAGCTTGCTAACATCAATCTTTTGGTGGTGGTCACTTCGTTGTCCACTGAAAAGTAAGGCAAGATTGGCGCAGACCAAGGCATGGTCAGAGTCCAGATAGGTACTCCAAAAGGAGCGGCAGTCTTGTACACAACCACGCCAGCGGTAGCTGATCGCGATGTGATCAATCTGAGTCCAGGCTTGAGATGCAGAGGGAGGACGCCAGGTGGCACATCGTCGATGACTGTGCCGAAAGTTAGTGCTAGCCAGAAACAGGTTGTGGTCTGTGCACAGTTGCAGTAGACGGTCCCCGTTATCTGTCCTGCGACCAACAAGTCCCCATCGGTCACCTAAACGACTCTCTTCTGTGCCTAGACGCTCGACCTGAGCATTCAAGTCTAGGCTTGTACTACAATATCTGTCGAACGCACTTTCTGGAGAAGAAAAGTTAACTGGTGGTAAAACTCATCCTTGATTGCATCCGGGCTGCAATCTGTCGGGGCATGGGCGGAGATGACGAAAAGACATCGTTTCTCACGCCGATTTCTTCCCACTTTGATGGAACTCTCTAATGCAACAGCACATAACCAACTGTTAATGGGGATCCAATTGATCAGTGCTGCCTCAGCTTTAGCGCTCAATTCGACACCAACGTCAGCAAGACCAGACGAATATGCAACAGGGTTCCGGATAAGCGCACGTAAAACAAGCTTTTTGAAGCGACAGATGAGCGAATTTGTAGTACTTCACCAGAGTCTTCAATACGGGTCTCGGATAGACAGCAGACATCGATATGAAGACTTTCTAAGGACATAGCTAGCCCTATCTGTTGTCCAACCTGCATAAGTGTGCGAACGTTGAAGGCACCCAGTTTGAATGGTGCACGTGGTTTCAGAAAAACTGCTTCAGTACTCATATTCGGTGGTAACATACAATTTTCAACCGGACAGTGACTCGAGAACGTCTAGATAGACTCGAATTTCCACCAAAGACGAGCTGCTGTATAAGTCGAAAAAATAAGTATGGACAGAGTAGGAATAAAAGAGGGTGAATAATGACGTAGTAAATAATAATAATAATAATAATAATAATAATAATAATAATAATAATAATAATGATAATAATTTGAATCATTTGATTGTTATTCGAAGCGAGAAAAGTAGTTTCCATAGATATAGGAAGTTCATCATTTGCGTGTGGGCTGTGATACTGCCCGGGTGCCCAAACCGAATCAGGTGGTTATCTTAGGGTGCCACACCCCGAGCCTTTGGACTAAAGGTCTAACCCACAAGGCAATCGAGCATCATAAGGAGATGCAGTCCCATGGTAGCCGGTGACCAACGATTTGTTCCCTCAGGATACTGGAGCCTATGCGCAACATTGATTTGGTTTGGGATCCGGTTAAAGCGCCGAACATTCGCTCTTCGTCCTCTCATTTTTGTAAACAACAGTAATGCCACGAGAAGGCGGTGAGTAGGACTTCCCTGGCAGAGGCTGTATACACGTGGCCTTGTGAGAGTATTTCGAGAGGGAGAGCGGACCCACCCCGCTCTCGGCCATACCAGGGCACTTGGAGGCTTTAATTGGAAATAGAATAAACAGACGGCTTCAATGGAAAGTGGTGAACCAGGGAATTAAGATAATCACTGCTTATGAATTATGACTACTAAGAATGTTAATATAAATTTACTTCAGTAGGTTTACCCACGTTGTTAAGCGTATCAATGTTCTTACAATAGACTGGCCAAAACCACAGTTTAACGTTGGCAACCTGTCAAAGGACTCATTTTACATCGCGTTAAGAATCGTGGTTCCCCTCTATGCACTGTTTCTAAGTGCACACAGACCAGTTATACTATAAGGAATCATAGTTATGTAGTCCCACATAAGCTTGATTTTATATGAAAAATATATAGGATTAATTTTATTCAGTATGGTCATGAAAATAGCACATCTAATGAATTATTTAATAACATCATTTGGGCTTTTTTGAATTTTCCGACATATTGAACAAAATCCCTCTAATCGTCATAGTTTCCTTTTCATCCAGATTTCGTCGTTGATATTAAAATGTAAATACATGAATTTACGGGATGAATATCATTTACAGTTACACCTCCAAAAATCTTTCACAAAAGATAATCACAATATAACAGCATGGAAGAAAATATTTTGGGCGTTTTTGTAAGAGAAAAAAGTTGTTTCAACGTGTTAATTGAACCGGATAAACAATAATTAAATAGATTTTCTACACCTGCTTCGGTTCGGGCACCCGGACAGTATCACAGCCCTCATACATATCGAATGAGATTTGTGTGGCGCGTATGTATTTGGTGCCTCCTTGTACCAATACCTAGGTGTTAAAATAAATAAATAAGATTTTCTACAGAGAAATACCAATTGAATTTGGATAATGTGTATTATGTAGAAAAGTGTCAACAGTTATTAGAGATAAAATTCTCCTAGTAATTTCCAATTATCTTATTCTAGTTGTTGCATTCTGCATAAAGTTTGAGATTTGATAGTTTTATAAAAAAATCCCACCACTAATGGTAATAATAATAGTTTTGTATTCCATTTTGTTTATTGTTCAGGTGGTGCTAATTGGAGACGGCCACATAGACGTGGAAAAAAACATGTAAGCGTTATGTGTAGATAAAAATTACTTCATCAGTTAACTGTACTTTATTATCGTTGAAAATTAAATAACAAGTTGTTTAGGGTCCACCCGATAATCTATCGTTGAACACCTTCGTCTTTGAAATTATTCATAGTGGCACAGAGGTATTGATTTTTGATCTGTTCTTAATCGTTGTATTGTACATCCTATTTCTCGATTTTATTCGCTCTTTCCGAATTGTCGTTTCAGTGTTTAATTTCCTAATGTGATTGGTGTTTGTCCTTTATTGGTTTTTTTTCTCATCTTAATTCTTCTCTTGTCGTGATGATGCAAACTCAACTGACATTTTTAGCCGATACACCTTTGTGCCAAGTCCTGCCACTAAATGCCCTGGTACGGCCGAGAGTGGGGAGAGTCAGCTCTCCCTCTCGAAATGCTCTCACATAACCACGCATATATAGCCTCTGCCAGGAAAGTCTTACTCACTGTCTTCTTACGGCATTACTGTTGTTTACGAAATTGAGAGGACGAAAAGCAAATGCCTGGCACTTTAACCAAGTTGATGGACACGGACAGTCCACCTAGAGGAGTTGGAAAACCCTGATTCCAAACCAATGGTGCACATGGACTCCAGTGTGCTGAGGGAACAAATGGCGTATGAACCAATTGTTGGTCACTGGCTACCATTGGACTGCATTCCCCTACGATGCTCCATTGCCTTGTTGATTAGACCTTGTGGTCGAAGGCTCTGAGTGTGGCTCTCTAAGAAAATCACCTGCTTCAGTTTGGGCACCCGGACAGTGTCGTAGCCCTCACACAAATCAAATGAGATTTGTGTGGCGCATATGTGCCTCCTTGTATCAAAATCTATGTGTTCAAATAAATAATAATAAAATGTGCGAAGTCACGTATTGGCTGATTGACTGAATAGTATTGTGAACTGTGTTCATAAAATTCAGACTGGATTTCATGCGTGTATTTTTAAAATATCTTGACAATATATAATATTCACTTTTGTTTACTTTTATGTTATTCCTTAAAAATGAAAATTTGTCTATCCAATCATATTACGTAATAACCTATTTCAGCGTCCATTATACGACTATCTTCATTTATTCTGAACACCATTATAAGTGATATTAATTAAAAGTATGCTAATATGGTTTCTCTTTACGGATATTCTCCATTCAGAAAATTTCAAATTCAGTGTCCTTAAATAAATATTGTTCAAAACTAATGTTTATTCTTTGCATTGTTTCTGTTTGCTTTTAGCGTACACGATGCAGTGGTGATGGCGATTGTCCTGAGGGCAAGTTTCTACTTTTTAAATATTAATTCTTTAAATTAATTAGCTGATCAGGTTGTTAAAAAGGCATATTGTCATTTTTAAACGAAATGATACTACTGTTACCTCGACACAACTCACCACCCAATTTAACAATCAAAGACATTACCCTTAAAGTATTCTGGCTGTGACTGATTTCTTATAGGACTGATATATTTTCATAGATTATTAACTTTTATTATATTTATCTAGTCTTCAGTTTCGATCAAACTGAAGTATCAGCCACTAGTTTAAACAAATGTGTTCTGTGTAGCGAGAATAAATGCTAGTCGATTGGTTTCTGTAGTTGGATCGTTTTCTAATTTCATCAAGAATATACCTCTATGGAGTGGTCTTAGTAGTGATTAAATAATATGACCGTTAGGCTGTCTTTAAAATTGGTTGTTAAATTAAAAATGTACATTCATTGTTCACCCAAGGATTAAATCTTTTCATTTGGCAACAGGACATGTAAGAGTCATTAAGAGTTCTGTTCTCGCTCACTTGGTGGATACAGGACATAAAATTGACTTGAATAAGACTGTTAAGGTTGGCCACCATATTCCATCGCATCCACCACATGGTTAACGAATTTGTCTGTTCCATATTGCGGAAGCTATCAGAATTCGTGTTCACAAACCCAACTTGTGCATCCAAAAGAAGTTTGTACAACCACTCTCTCGGCAATGAGTGTGATAGTGAGCTTTTAGTTGAATTTTCACTAAATCCCTTCTTTCAGAATTATTCAAACGATTTTCTAATTTCTTCCACTTTTGTATTTTTACATATTCTTGCTATAATACTATAATGCTGACCTTTCAGAGTATTCTCTTAGTTCATTTTGTATTACCAGAATCAGTGTTTATGAAGGTTGTAGTAATCTAATAGTTGAATTCATAAATTTATTTAAGCTAGATCACCATGGAAAACCTGGAAGCATACGGGACTCGAACCCAGGACCTCCTGTCTCGCGCGCAATGTAGCGATTGTTTGATTTTCCGAACAATTTGATTGTTATAATCCTCTTTCTCCCATTTACTCAATATATTTTGTAACCGATACATTGTGTAATCATTACATTACGTAACCACTTGATGAGTATTATTTCGTTGATGTAAATCATATATATTTGTAGAGTCATGATGAAAAACTAATTGAAAAGAAATTTCTTCGTCCTGTTTACTAAGTTTTGTTTCCTTCAGTAAGCTGATAATTCATATCTTAGTATGATAACTGAAGTATCATTCCCATCTCAAACTGTGTTACATACACTTGACACCGAGAGATTATGAATGAATGACACTTGGTAGTTAATGGTACTCGATGTCCAACCACTGGATTGAATCTCACTTCCTCCTACTTTAAATTCTGAAACTGGTAGCATCGCTTGCCTTCAAATCAAAAGAATGTCTCAAAACCGGGGGTACACGAATTTCTACTTAGTAAATAAGTTATGAACTAGAAAAGAAGGCCCAGGACAGAGTGGGTTGGAGAATGCTGGTCGGCGACCTAATCTCCATTGGGAGTAACAGGCGTAAGTAAGTAAGTAAATAAGTTATGAGAAGACGACTACACCAGTTTTAGATTATTTGTATTAGAATATTCTATACATTTCGGTTGTATTTTCAGTTCCTGGCTTCTTTTTTTTCATAGGTCAAATGTGTAAGGAACGTCGTCACAGAGGAGGACGTAAACATCAAACACGTGGTGCTCCGCCACCTTCCGGCAGTCTATCTCCATCCTCACATAGTGGACTAAAAGTTGGGAAGAAATTTTGTCGTGAGAGAAAAAGTGGAGTACATAGAAGATCAGGAATCCTGTAATTCGTATCAAGGAACATTATCATCAGTATTCAAAGGAACTTCGTTTATACTATTCATATATATATATCCTAATATTTCCTTATTTATTGTTTTCCTGTTTTTTTTCTATAGAAATTTGTCCGTTTATCTTCGAACTGACTTTTATTCGAAAAGTATGTAACACTACATTCACCCATTCATCCATATACTCAATTTAATCCATTGCAAAAAAAAGTAACTTTACTTATTGTATTTGCGATCCTATTTCATGTTTTATCAACTCATTCAGTCATTAAGCATTTAATTTCTTATCCCCACTGCTCGATTTTACCCTTGCAATTTTACTCAGTTTTCTCGCTTGTTTCTGTTTATATTTTGCCTTAACTGGTCTTTTTTTGTCATTGAAATGTGTGTACACGTACGTAGTTTTGTTTCTTATATTTGCTTTTATTTACAGTTCTCAGTAATTTCCGATGGGAAATATGAATTACTCAATGTTGCCAATATGAAAAATACACGATAAATCCTTGTTATTTATCTTCAGTGTCTGTTCACTTATCGTCTTCAAATTGTTTTCATTACCACTGTTTACCTGGTCATGTAATTATCGGTTATTCTATTCAATGAAAGTTTTGCGGTAATTTGTAGTTTGTGTTCGTCATGAATTAATCTCAATATGAGTATCACTGAAAACTAGGACGCATTGGACAGCTGTTTCATACTACAGCGGTGCTCACTCACGATCCATTCAGGGATTGAACCCACCAGATCTCGCATGGAACTCAGTCGTTAGAAACAATGAGTTGGGGTGCGGTGGTGCAATTGCAGCTTCAATCAACTTGAAATATATCATGACAATCATCCAATATCACTGGTAGCAATTTCCACTTACTACATGTCTGAACTCTACCAGTTGTGAGTCCTTACTAGAGCTTCAGGGATATCTTGTAGTTACTTATGAGCTTGCTTAAACAGGTTTTATAGAGATTGGTTTACTTTGTAGGCTGTATTTGTCAGTGGTACTCTGAGTTCCATCGATATAACCTATAAATTAAACCAATCTCCGATAAATTAGATAGTCATTGTATCAATGCATAATTGTTGAATGATCTACTATATTAACTAGTATCAGTTAAAATATCATTTGATAATCAACATGTAGTGGGTGATTTTTCTAATTTCTGGTTGTACTACTTACTCATCTTCACTATCGGTACGAATGAACATGGGCAGATTTGTTTATTATATTTACAAGACTACAAAATAAATGCCATTAATTTTCACAGTTAAATAATTGATTTTTTATGCCTTCGAATTATCATAGCGTTAATCTGGTTGTTGTAAATAGAAATTGATCGATCTATATCATTATGTGTATACTAAAGTTAACCGAATGCATTATTGGATTAAACAACACAATGAACCTGTGTTAAACCACATATGTCAGAAATAGCTTTGATTTTTGGGTAGACATTACTTGTGATTGGATCCCTGTTTTAATTTACAAAAGTTAAAATAAAATTGAAGTTTTCGTTTTTTTGTAGTTATATACTTTTAAAAAAAATTGATTCAAATGTTCAATAATAAACTGTTTCAATGTTCTGATCCTGTATGGCTTTTGTGACGCTTCCAAAATGGAAGGTAACTCTTAACCTGTTCAACTCTTATACTATAACTGCCTTTAAATTTGCTCTACTTTTTCACATGACAAATGTCACATTTTTCATAGCCGCTCACATACACATAATTATATCTCACAAGTAGTCCCTTTAATTTGAATGGAGAAACGTCGGGATGAGGTAGGTTTTGTTTGTACTTAATATTGAATTTGTCCATTTGAACTTGTTAATTTATTAACTGAATAAATGGCTTACACTAAGTTGTGAAACGTCAGAAATTGGATCTTTTTCTCTAATCATTGGGATATTACAAATATATCATCATCAGTATTTAAACAACGCTTATATTCTTTATGAATTTATCAGTTCAAACCTTGGTCACGACATGAAAGTGGACTCCCGTTTAATCCCCTTTCAGTGGTTTTCAGTCTATGGTGGTAGGTGTCTTATACTTTCAGTATTTATGAATATAAGTTTATAGGTTTTCGGAGCAGTGTTCTAATGTTTAATTCATCCTATTTTTTACAAGGAAATCGCTGGGTAAACGTATAGTATCATTATCTTTCACACAAACCATGTCATTGAAAATCAACCGCGTTAGCTTCTCTTTGTTAAATGGGTTACAGTAAATGATGTTGAATAATTTTAAAAGAGAAAATTGGCAAAAGTAGTGTTTCCCTTGATTAAACGTCAATGTATTTCTATCCTCTATGTTTGAAATAAACACTTAATTCAACTTTCACAGCATATACCGAGAGTAGTGGTATGTTAATTATAATTTAGTTTGAACAATCTTCAGATATGGGTCAGAACACCAGTTAGTCGTATACACTATTGAGGATTCTCAGATATGCACGAAACGGCTGTCCTATAATCCTTAGATTTAACTGAAAAGAAGCTTTTCTGTTGATGTATTCAAAATAACCAACAGACAAAAAACACCAATTTTACTCCGTTTTGCAGAGGCGATCGCTACCAAACCTTCCCGACCTGACCTATGTATGCGAAAGGAAAGCTTGATTAATCTTTCCCTGTTATGATGATTGGATATTTGTCTAAATAACCTTCGTTAATTTTAGTCTTTATTCAACCCTGTTCCAAACCTTTTATTTTTATTCTTCTGATATTCATCTTTTATATAATATGATTTATGTTTACATATTTGTTTATTTTTCCATTCATTTTTTTACTTTCATATAATCTCTGAATTATTACTTCCCAAAATAATAAACACAAATCAATCTTCACTCTGTTTATTCATATAATTTGTGTATTTATTCTTCTGAATATTATGATCGTGATTGCGTTTCGAACATTTATCTAAACTTCACAAACTTACTTAAATGACCGATGACGTTGATGTTAGAAAACTAAAGTTTGCTAAACATGTGTTAATAATTATATTAGATGGTGTTTGGAGGTAGTTGACAAGAAACCCTGCACCCGAGTTCCGTGCTACTTGGCACTCGTCAGCAACGTGTGCCTGTAATCTTGAGGGGATTGATGGTCACTGACGGATTCGATCCCGTGTCACCCAGCTTCACAGTCAGAGACGTTGCCACTATGCTATCGGGGCCGTGACCGACTTCCTGTACGACTGAGATGTAATCACAACTTATTGATCACTGGGTGGTGATCGATGTCATGTGTGTCAAGTTCTCTTAATGCAGATCGAGTGCTATCGAACAAGTTGCAATGTGGCCACTAGTCTAGGGTTTCCTGTTGACTACCTCCAACCACCATCTAATCTCACAATAGTGCACTCAATGTCGAGTCACCTAGACTAGTGGCCACATTGCAACTTGGTCGATAGCATTCGATCTGCACTAATAAGGACTTGACACACATGACATTGATCACCACCCAGTGATCAATCACTTGTGATAACTGTTTATTTTAATAGTTGAGATCACGAGTCAATCGAAACTAGACCACCATGGAAAACCTGTAAACACTGGACGGCTGTTTCGACTTTTTGTTGAACTCCTCAGCAGTGCGCACTGACGATCTCGCTTCGCGAGATCGGAACCCAGGACCTATCGGTTTCACACGAAAGCACTTAACCTCTAGACCACTGAGTCAGCCGTCATCCAACGGTGTTCACGTCTAACTTCAACTAACACAGTAGGATGAAATGGTCATTCAGTGCTTTCAGGTTTTTCATGGTGCTCTAGCTTCAATTGACTCACGATATTAATAATAACAAGTTTACGTTGTATGCAGCTGATAAGAAACTATGAAATAGAATGAATTCATTTTATTCCCCAAACTTTATTACCCTTTCTTTGTTTAATGATTTTATTTAGATATTTTACATATCCATTATTGATCACCTTTGTAAAGGCCCCCAAATGCCCTGGTACGACCGAGAGTAGGGACAGTCCGCTCTCCCTTTAGAAATGCTCTCACATGGCCACGCGTATATAGCCTTTGCCAGGGAATTCCTACTCATTGCCTTCTCGTGGCAGGGGTGTTGTTTACGAAAATGAGAGGACGAAAAGCGAATGCCCGGCGCTTTAACCGGATTCCAAACCAATGCTGCACATGGGCTCCAGTATCCTGAGGGAACAAATGGCGTATGAACCAATTGTTGGTCACCGGCTACCATGGGACTGCATGTCCTTACGATGCTCCACTGCCTTGTGGTCGAAGGCTCGGGGTGTGGCCTCTTAAGATAACCACCTGCTTCGGTTTTGGCACCCGGGCAGTATCACAGCCCTCACACATATCGAATGAGAATTGTGTGGTGCATATGTATTTAGTGCCTCCTTGTATCTATGTATTGAAATAAAAATAATAATAACCTTTGTAAAGCATATTACTTATCTATCTATATGTTGCTTTTTTATATTACTTCAGCATTCTTATTAACATAACAGATAGATAATTTGTTATCTTTTCATTCCTTCAATTGACTAACAATAACTAGGCAATTTTGTATCTAAAATGAATATATATATATATATATATATATAGTTTATTTCGTATACAGATTTTGTATATAAAAAAGAAATAAAATAATAATTAATTATTTTATTAAACTGATTAATTAATCAATTGATGAATGAAATAAATCTTTCATAAATAAATCATTAATCAATTGTTTATAATTGATTTTATCGATTTTTGATTTTTTACTTAAATTAATTGATTTTGGCATATCACCTTTACTTATTGGTAACCAATCAATATTAATATTTCCAATAGAATCCAATAATGGTTGAATAGATAATTCTTTATTTTCATAATTTTTCCAATTCAATTGATTAATAAATTGTTCATATTGTATTAAATTATTCTGATTGACTAAACTGTAATTTAAATGTAAGAAAGAAAAAATATTAATATTTATAATTTTTAACAAAATCAAAAACCGTGTAATTAAAAAAAGGGTAAATTGAGTTGTAAATTATTTATTTATTTAAACACGTAAACATTGGTACAAGAAGGCACCAAACAAAGATATATGCCATATAAATCATTTGATTTGTATGAGAGCTGAAATACTGCCTGGGTAACCAAACTGAAGCAGGTGGTTTTCTTAGGTGGCTACACCCTGAGCCTTCGACCTAAAAGGTCTGACCTACAAGGTAGTGGAGTAACGTTAGGAGATACAGTCCCATAATAGTCGGTAACCAACAATTGGTTATATACCATTTTTCCTTCAGAATCATGAAGTCTATGTGCACCACTAGTTTGAAATCATAGTGTCCCAACTCCTCTAGGTGGACTGTCTATGTCCACCAACTTGGTTAAAGCGCTAGACATTCGCTTTTCGTCCTCTCAATTTCGTAAATAACAATAATGCCGTGAGAAGAGAGTGAGTAGGAGGGAGAGCTGACTCTCCTCATTTGGGGGCTGTGAATTATTAGTTTGTAAATATGG